CGAAAAATTGAAACCTGGATCTTTTGTGATTTGGGATCTTGTATAAAATAAGTCTTTCATTGTAGTAGGGACCCTCTGCTTGCTCTAGTGTTTTTAGGGAGGGGCCCTATCTCCTTCATGCTCTATTTCGGTAGATGTCTTAGTTCCCCAATCTTTGTTGACACTGGAGAGGCAGTGTCTCCTGGTCATTTCTTCATGAGGATGGGAAATCTGGCCTCTAATTATAGTAAGCTGGTTGGGAGGAATAAGAAATAAATTATTGGGCCTGGAGAGAAGGCTCAGAGGTTAAGAGCACTGGCTGCTCTTCCAGAGGTCCTGAGTTCAATTCCCAGCAATCACATGGTGGCTCACAACCATCTATAATGAGATCTGATGTCCTCCCTGGCCTGCAGGCATCCATGCAGACAGAACACTGTATACTAAATAAATCTTTTTATGTCCAATTTTTAAAAATTTAAATTAGAAACATTCTTATTTTACATCTTAATTCAGTTTCTTCTCCCTCCCATCCTCTCTTGCCCCCAAATCTTTTTTATCCTTTTTAAAGAAAGGAATTATTGATCTTCGTATTGCTTCTACTGACAAAGCGGGGATGGTGGCTGTAGTGAAAATTCTGATTCTCCACTTGACCTCCTTTGACACCAATTCAGTGGGGGAGGGGGAATGAGCCCCTATAACTGTTGGGTGTGGTAGAAGTTCAGGCTGCATACTGAAATTGGATACTTTATTTCAATTGATAAGATAAACCAGAAATCCCTGATCTATTCTCACAACTGAAGTTTTTATAATGGCTCCCGATCTCGGTATAACTTTAACCCATTTTTCGTTTTTACTGTGAGTTGGATATCTTCTTAGAAAATATTACTTTAAATGTATTATTTACTAGGTGTGTGTAGGTCAGAAGACAACTTCCAGGATTTGGCTCTCTCCTTCTACCTGTGAGTTCCAGGGATCGCTCACTCAGGTAGTGTCAAGCTCCTTTAACTCACTAAGCAGTGTAATCAGTGTAATCTTTATGAATCACTAATTATGGCTAGAATTGGCAAACTTTTTTGAACTCTTATTTGCAGGGGCGGGGGTTGGGGGGGATGGGGGTGGGGGGTGGGGGGCGGGGGGGAGGGACACCGTATCCCAGGCAGACCCTGAACTACTGATACCACCATGATACCACCATCTCCTAAATGCTGGATTATAAGCACGAGCAAAGATAGTCTTATTTAGACTAGATAAAAAATGACTGTTGCCGGGCGTTGGTGGCACACACCTTTAATCCCAGCACTCAGGAGGCAGAGGCAGGTGAATCTCTGAATTCCAGGCCAGTTTGGTCTACAAAGCGAGTTCCAGGACAGCCTCCAAAACAATACAGGGGAACCCTGTCTCAAAAAACCAAAAAACAAAACAAAATAAAACAAAAACAAGACTGTTATTGTGAGTTTCTATTATTTGTATAGGTTCTAGGGTACTAACCTTAGAAATTAGATTTTTCTAATTGTTTAAGGTTACACATCTAGTTGTTTAAAATAGGTGAACTTCCTTTTCTTGTAACTGGTTTGATATTGATGGAACATATATTATGTGTAACACTGCTTCAAATTACATAGCAATTAGTCCGTAAAATGACTTATCATGTTTTATATAGTTGATTTAACCATGCAAGTTTTATCAGGTTGGCAAATTCAGATTAAAAATTTCCAGCTTCTATTGTGTTGTCAGAACTACAAAAAAAAATCTGGGATTGATATAACTTTCATCTTGGAAAAAATGAAAGGGATAGCAACACTGGGGTTATAGTCCCCAAATATATGAAATAGATTAGGATTGCTTTTGTGTTGGCTTATAGGGAGGGTGAAGGATAGGGGCAAGTGATTTGTAGCATAGTGATAAAAACTTTAGACCCTGTATGTGAAAGCAAGAAAAGATCACAAATACCAAATTTTAAAATTTCGTTTATTTTGATGCTGGAGATTGAGCTTAAGGCCCTAAGTATGCTAGTCACACTCTGAATCCTAATAAGGTTTTGGATTCTATATTATGTATCTAGTACTCCACCTATTTACAGCATCTAATTTTTCATTCTTTTTCTTTGATTTTTGAGACAGGGTTTCTCTGTGTAGTCCTGGCTGTACTGGAACTTGCTCTGTAGACCAGGCTGGCCTCAGACTCAGAGATCCACCTGCCTCTGCTTCTTGAATGCTGGAAATAAAGGTATGTGCCCCCACACCTGGCCACAGCATGTAATTTTTAAAATAATGTCATAGTAAGCCTGTGGAGCTCAGAAGACAACTTGCAAGAGTCATTTCTGGGCTCTGGGAATCGAACTCATGTTGTCAGGCTTAGTGGCAAATACTTTGAGGAACTAAGTTATTGAAGGTTGGCTGCCCCACTATTAAGTGGTAGAGATAGGATTAGAGATTAGATTTGTATGGTGTAACACAGACCAGGTTCCTATTGTGACACCACTCAGCCGTCCACATTTTGATGGCCTCCTCTGTAGCCCAGGATGACCTTCAACCTCTGACTCTCCTGTCTCCACCTTCTGAGTGCTGGGATTAGGGGTCTGTGCAACCTCACCCACTTTATGCTGTGCTGGGGAACAGGATAAGTAAGAGCTTCATGCATGATAGGCTAGCACTATACTAACTGAGCTAAGTCAGCCCTAACTCTTCACAGTAATAATATAAAATAAAACTTTCCCATTTTATGTCATAAATTTCAAATAAAATTGAATCATTTTCTCAACAGTGAATGAGAAAGGGTCCAAACTTACTTTACATACATTTGACAGATGATAAACTATGAAAAAAGCCAAAGAATTACATAGTGATGTAAGACTTATGCTACTATGTGGAAACTGCTTCATGCTTGATGGAGGATAAATCCTTGTAGTTGGAATAAACAAAGTGCTGCTTTAGTCAGGCATGGTGATGCATATCTATTATCCCAGAACTGAGGAGTCTCAGGCGGGAGAACCCACAGGCCAGCCTGGGTTACAGAGCAAGAGCCTATCTCATAAAACCTGTGCCCCAACAAAGAATCCCTCCAAAGCAAAAACGACAGCTTTGGTTTAGAGGTCACACGGCTAGTACAAAGGATCAGAAACCAGCTGTACTAGCTAGACTCCAACCCCTCCCTGTCACTGTACGTCTAACACTCTATCCTAGCAATGGAGGACAGGAAGGCGTTGAGGCACGGGTAGTGGGTGGCTTTCTATCTTTTTTGGGAAGGTAGTGAATCGGGAACCACTAACTGGGAATATGACCAAATACTGGCAGATTTGATTTCTGTTTGTGCGAGTGAGTGTGTAGTAGTGAGGCCAGAAATCTCCCAGGCTTTGAAGGTCATCATTTGTGACACTTAACAATGCACGTGCTAATTAAGTTATAGAAAATATTCAGTCCCCTGTACTCACTCATTCAAGTAAAATGGAATACCTGCGAATGGAAGAGATGTTTTCTAAAACTGTAATTAAACATGAAATATAATTCATATAAAGCTAGAGTTTGTTCATCTAGTTACTAATCTCTAGGCAGCAATTTAAAGCACTGTTTGCAAAAATCAGGATTTTCTTAGTCTCTCACTGAATACAGCTAGGATTTACTGACTCAGCACTTACATATTCTGAAATCCAAATTTAAATATACCCTATTGATTACAGGTGCAAACTTACTATTTAAAACCTAAAACTCCACTTATAAAGGGATCCTTTTCTTCATATAGTCATCCTTCAATAATTAATATTTCCCTATCTCCTAAGACTGGTGGTGTGCCCTGCTGTATGAGATACATACTGAATCTGCCTTTCCAAAATAGTCGACTGAAGGCTTAGTTTTTCTCCTTATTATACAATGGATCGAACACCAGACTTTTATTTGTATCTCCTGAGGGGTAGAACAAGCAAATCTCACTACTAAGGGTTTCCGTATGTAGTGGAAGCAGGAAAAGGCTTTTCTGGGCAGCAAATTACGTTGAGTGTCCTGTTCCTCTAAGGCCAGTTCACATACATGCAGCTAGCCACAACTCTTCCATGACGTCCCACTGAGATGACAGCGACAGAACCTAACATTCTGGATATCCCCCTCAACAAATTTCACTGGGGTTTTCTTTCTTTCTTTTTTTTTAAACAACATAGTGAATTTCTGCAAGGGCGAAGGGTAAATCCAAGCAGTCGTTATATTTGGCCCGAAAGTGCTGCCAACAGACAGACCTTTGGCGGTGGGGTGCCGCGGCCAGCGCGCCAGACCCTCGCAGGCGACTCTTCCTCCTTCCGGCCTGGGGTGTGTGGGCGGGGGTCAGGGGACGTTTTCCCCTTCACCTTGGAGGGTGTGGGGCTTCGAACTGCCATTGCGGCCTAGTGTAGGGCGGCGCCCAAGCTGCGGGCTCCGGGGCGGGCTGCTGCTCCTCTGGCGCACTCCCCGCGGAGGCCTTTCTTTCCAGCAGGGCCAAAGTGGGCGCCTTATTCCGAGGGCAGAGGTCGGGGCCGACTCGGCCCCGAGGGGATCGATATTCCCGGAGTGCGCGGGCACGCGCCGGTCTAGCGAAGCCCCAGTCTCGGCCCACCCCAAGGCTTCCGGGCAGCCAGAGACAAGTCCATGGCGTCCCCGCTCTCGCCCGCCGCGGGCGGTGCCGGACCTCGCCCTGCCCGAGCCCTCCCCTCCCCCTCCCGAGACCGCCACGACTCCCGGAGCGCCACGGCCCGGACCCTCCATTCTCTGCCCGTGCATTTAAGTAGCACAACCTAACCGGCTGCCGCCACTCTGGGCCAACCCTTCTCAGGACGGACGCGCCCGTCAGCCAACCGGCGAGCGGGACGGCCGAGCATCCCGCTCCCGGGTCTGTGGCGGCCTCGGTGGGCGGGCCGAAGCAGCTAGCAAGTTGAGTGGAGCCACGGCTGACGCGAGTCAACAAAAGTCACGTGAGGCGGGCGGCCCGCGCCGATTGGCGGCAGAGGCCGGGCAGGGAGGGGGGGTCACGGCGGCGGCGTGGGGTTCGCTGTGTGACACAATTACAACAACTTTGTCCTGGTGCCGGGGAAGTTTGTGTCTCCTCCGAATCCCCTCAGAGCTCCCGATCCCCGCGCGCTCCGGCCATTCCCGCCGTCCCTGCCCGCGGCTGCCCCCTTCCCGTCCCCGCGATGTGACCCTACAGCCGAGCCGTCGCCGCTACCGACCCCTCGGTGGCTCCAGAGCCCCTGCTGCCACTGCCTTCACCTCTACCGCGTTGGGATTTTTTTTTTTCGCCGCCGCCTTTCGCGGCGGAGGAGGAGGAGGCAGAGCTAAAAGTTGGTGTGCCGGTCCCGTGCGGAGAGTGGGGGCGTCGTTGCGGGCCCCGGTCCGGGGAGGGGGGCTGCCGGCGTTGGAGTTGTGAATTCGCTGCGTTTCCATGAAATCCTGCGGAGTGTCGCTCGCTACCGCCGCCGCCGCCGCCGCCGCCGCCGCTTTCGGTGATGAGGAAAAGAAAATGGCGGCGGGAAAAGCGAGCGGCGAGAGCGAAGAGGCGTCCCCCAGCCTGACAGGCGACGAGAGGGAGGCGCTCGGCGAACTGGACAGGTACGGGGCGCGGGCCCCGGCCGGGGCGGCTCGGGACAGGCAGGCGCGGCTCTCGGCGGAGGCCGGAGCGTGGCTCGTCTGTGCGGCCGCTGGGGCGGGCACCTGGGCTCGGCGCTCTCGGCGCCGCGCCGACGCCGGGGCCTCGGGCTCCGGCAGGGACCGGTCGGCGGCGTTGCGGGAGCACTAACGAGCCGAGTGTGTCTCTCTCTGCAGCCGCCTCTTTGGCTTCGTGAGGTTTCATGAAGATGGCGCCAGGATGAAGGCCCTGCTGGGCAAGGTAAGGCAGCTGCGGGCCGGAGTGCGGACACGGGCTCGGGCGGGAGGCGCGCTCGTCCCGGGCCCCGCGCCCCGCGGGGGTCAGCGCTCATTGTGGCCTCGGCCGACGGTCTTCGGCCACTACCTCCTGCCCCCGCGCTCCCCGCACTCCCCGGTGCCTCGCTTGCTCTCCTGGGGGATCACTTCTCATGCAAGCAGAGGGACAGAGGCAGCGGCGCATTTTGGGGCGACCGAATTGCTTCGGGTTTTGCCGCCCTCGGGAGCCAGGCCGGTGATCCCCGACGTGCCCCGGGAGGGCCAGGAGATCGGAAACGGGTGCAGATTTCTTAATTCCCCGTTTGTTACCTCCTTTGGTTTTTGGGCTCTTCCTTTAGTCGGCTTGTTCGTGATGTCCGCTGTTAAGCAAACATTTGGGGATGGCTTCTGGTCTCTGCTCCCTAAAGGAGGAAGTTGGACGTACTTTAGGTCGGTGAAGAGTTTTGCATTGGGCTGTTGACGTGGATCTCAATTGGTCTGTGCGTTACCTGAACTTAGGTGACTTGTTTACTTTTTGGGTCTTTCTGCCACAGATCCGGTTATGTGTGAGTGCGTTTTCTGGAGCCTGCTTTCCTGTGAGTCTGTCAGGGCCGGTTGGGGAGGATTCGGGGTGTAGTCTCTTGTTTGTGTGGAAAGTTGTTGGTACTGTCATTTAGTTAAGTAATGGCTGCTTCTGTCGGCCCAAGATGGCGGGACAGGGTGGGAGGAGAAAGTGAAGGGGGGGCCTTGGGGAGGGAGAAGAGGTAAACATGGAAATAAATAGTGTCGAAGAATAGGCCTCTCCTTTGGAGTGTGTAGCTCGGTGCTCAGTAAAAATTATCATAGATTATTTGCATGTAGATTTTTTTGGTACCCTTCTCTAGCTTGGAAACAGCATGCATAAGCCTAGTAAATGGTTATCAACCTGTAGCACATTTAGTTACCCATCGTAAGCTCTTGAACAAAGGCTGGAATCTCCTTCAGTCTGCTTTAGTTTAGATTTTCTGACCCAAGTGTGATTGGAGTGGTATCAGGAGGCTTTCTTCTTAATTGGGACTGTGAAACTTGGAGTGTATGTGATAGGTATTGCATTAATTAGACATTTTCTTCTTTGGCTGAAATCTCTAGCTTTGCATTTGACAGTTAGCTCTTTTGTTGCAGTTGAGAAGTTTTAAGAGATAACTAAAACCTAACAGCATTTTTAAAAGTTGATTATTTCAATCTTTATTTTTGCCCGTAGTTTGGTTTAGCGGCATGGCATTATTTGCTTTTTGTCCGTGATCACACTTGTTTTTATTTAAAACTATCTAAATAGAAGAAGTTTTGATTGCAGACAATGACCAGAAAGCAAAACAGACATAATCCTTTTCAGTAAGTACAGTTTCTTTGAACGGTAAGAACATGTGAATTAAACTTTTGACGATGTGGGTATTAATTGGTTTCATTAAAATTGTCGCTGGAAAAAATGTGCAATGACTAGTTCTGGACTGATATAAACATCAATGGTTGTTGGTCCTTGGCTTTTAAGGTTTTTTTCCCAACCTATTTGAAGTATTTTATGTACTAGATTACTGTGATGCTGTCACTCCAAAGTTAATATACAGTGTCTAAATTGAAGGGTCATTTTATTTTACTAGTCTACGTTGGGTTAGTAAAGTTGCTAGCAGGAAGAATTCATATGGAAAAGTTTGACCAAATGTATTGCTTTTGGTTATGAAGAAGTGAGTGGAATCTGTTTTATGTATATGCTAGTTCATAATTTCATATCTTAGACTGCTTGGAATCAGAATCACAGCGGGTGGTGCTTAACACTGGATATTATATTGTAGTGAAACCTACAGCATTTCCAAAAATTTCTAAATGCATTACTGGTGTTTGACTACAGTAACATTTTAAACATGAACAATTTGTGAAGCTTCATTTTTTGGGGGGGAAGAATTATGTCTTCATAAGGATAGGGTAGTTTGATAAACTGAGTATATTGAACAAAAAAAAAATTCTTCATTGGCTTTGACTCAGTGCTCCTTAGAGTCCTAGCGATTTAGATCAGGACCAACAGCCTTAATGCTAAAACATTCTATATTATGTACTTTGAATGCTCACATGGACCTACCTGGGTTGTGTCCTTATTAGCCTGAAAGTAAAATGTGTAATAGAAATCTATGCTTCACGAAATGTAACCTTTTGTTTGAATTGGATTCTGAGTAGAATGAGTGAACTACAGTCCTTGGAAAGAAGTATTGAATTTTTATCCATCCTTGATATAAGTGTCCTGAGAATCAGTATTTTTGGATGTGAAGTTTGGGGAGTGGAATGATTAGTTATGTTGGTTTTAGAATTTTTTCCTATGTAATGTAACTCTTTAAAAAAAAGTGTTGGCTTTTCTCTATGGTGGGGTATGTTCAGGCAGTTTAACTGAACACATAATACATTGAATAATTGCCAGAATTTCTTTTTTTTTTGTCTATGAATTTTGTTGTATTATTCTCAAAAAAAATTAGTCTGTGCCAAAACATGTTTCACCTTGTGGAAATTTAACCATTCCTACTTAATTTTTTGTCCTTATGTTTTTATTGTATCCTTACAGTATTAAAGTGCACATTTATAAACAGAAGTCTAAAAAGTTTTGGAAAACTGAAAGCATTACATAAGTATTTTTTATTTGTTCCCAGACTTGCTACTTTTTCATGTGTGAGGCTGCTGTATTTCAGGCAATTTCCGCTGGACTCTATTCTTTTGTAAGGTTTCATTATGTAAGAGTCATTGAAAGAAGTTTTCTTTACAGGATTGTTTTTGATAATATAGTATGGTGTTTTGGATTTAAAAACTTTAATACAGTATTTTTCTAGTAATAACCTTAAATTAGGCTGTAAGGAACGAGAGCTTTAGAAATTTTGTAATATGGTGTGATCTTTAAGTTTTCTCTTTAATGCTAACCCTTAATTTTGGGATAGTTTAATTATTCATTATTATCATTATTACTTATTTATGCCTGTGGGTGTTTTGCCTGTTATTATTATTACTTATGAGTCTGGGTATTTTGCATGCATATATATCTGCGTACCATTTGGATGGTGACTGATGAGGCCAGATGTTCCTGATCCCTTTGAACCAGCAGTTGTGAGTCGCCATGTGGGCCCTTGGAATTGAACCTGGATCTTCTAGAAGAGCAGTCAGTGCTTTTAACCACTGAGCCATCTGTCTCTCCAGTACTAATAATTCATTATTCTTGTTTTCCTAACTGCAGTGGAATAATTAAGTGAAACATTTTAGCATAAATTAAGTATGGTGACTTTTTACAGATTTGGAAACTTTTGGGGCATACTTTTTAGTTAGGAAGGATTTGAGTTAGTTATAGATATAAAGAGAAGAAAAGTAAAGAGTATAATAAATTTGATACAACTGTCGGATCACTAGAGTAATAATACGGTAGCAGCATGGGGAGGGTGGCTCTGTTGTTCTGGGGTATCTTATCTGTGTGTGAGGTAATAAGTCACTAAAATACATAGTTGTGGAGCTAGAGAGATGATCCAGCAGTTAAGAGCTAGTACTGCTCTTGCAACTGACCAGAGTTTGGTTTCTAGCACAAACATTGGGCAGCTTACAATAAATATTCTTAGAACTCCAGCTTCAGGCCTCTGATCTTCTGGCTTTTATGGGCATCTGCACCATACGTGTACGTATTCTAAACGTAGGCGTGCGCGCACACACACACACACACACACACACACACACACACAGAGTTTAAAATAAGGCAAATATTTAAAATGAAATCTATAGCTTTTTTGTTGCATTTGGTGTGTGTTGTGTGTGTGAGAGAGGAGGGAGAGCCAGAGCATGCATGCAAGCATGCAGGCTAGATAGAGCAGGCACACTAGCGAGCTCCAGGGGAAAGTCAGGACTTCTTATTTTCGCCTTCTTCTGTGTCCCCTATTGAACCCAGCTGGACAGTAATTAGGCGCTGGGCCATATCCCAGGTCCTATAGTTGCTTATTTTAAAAAATCTTTATTGTTAAGTTTGTCTAACTATTCTGGTTGGATTTCTCTTTGATAATTCTTTTAGTAGATTTTATAGAATACTTGGGAATTATAAATTCATTTTTTGAAAAATTAAAATGTATTCTTAAAGTGATATTAAAAGAAAATACTTGATGTTTTTATTTTTGGGGTGGGTAATGAAAAAGTTTAAGATCCACTGAAGCTTATATTTTCCTGAACTTGGCTTTTCATATATGAGAAAATTATTAGGTCTGTTTTGTCTGTATTATAATATTTGGATTATTGCTGATGTGTGGAAACAAATGTGTACTTTCTGTTTGTAAGGACTTAAAGGGGATATTCATTTCCAGAGCTTTGGTTGGAAAACGTAGTTATAGAAATAGTATCATGAGGGCTGGTGCGATGACTCATCAGGAAAAGGCACTTGTTGCCAAGCCTGAGGTCTTGAGTTTGATTCCTTGGAATTACATGGAGGAGGGAGAGAGAACCAATTTACTTCCCTCTCCCTCTCCTCTCTCTCCTCTCTCTCCTCTGTCTCCCTCCTCTCTCTCCCTCCCTTTCTCTCACACAGACACACACGCATGCATGCATGCCCAGACACACTTAAAAAATGTCTTGTGCTTGGAAATTAGATTTTTAATTTGATGGATTTTTAAAAATGTTTTCTAGTTTGGAAAATTATTTTCTAAACAATTATGGTCACAATTGTAAGAAGTTTTATGCAATCACTACATATTTGCTAGCATTTTTTATATGTTCCTTGCAACAAAATTATAGTAAGATTATAGAACATATTTACATGTGTGTCACTGAATAATAGAGTTGCAGCAATACATATGTAGACACTTGTTTTGCTTATTGAGACAGGGTCTAACTCTAGCCCCAGATAGCTTTTAGGTAATCCTCACTCTTCAGCCTCCTTAGGACTGGGATTTATAAGAGTCATAAAAATGCTTGGCTCTAAACTGATAATTTTAAATTTCTGAA